GTTTCTTCCTTTGATTCAGATTCTGTTATAATTTATTGAATTAGAAAATTCTTAATCAGAAGAACAATCCACATTGGGCTAGGCATTTAGATTTGAAGTCAATGTGAAAATGTTAGAATATTTGGGAAATTTTCTTCGATTGTACAGGATATGGAATGTCTCCTGTAATGAAATGACAATGTAACATTAGTCTACACTACACGTGAAAACTGAGCCTCAAAATTCTTATGCCTTCCTTCTAGACTAATGGATTAAGAGTGACAGATTAATTTTAGTCAGGTTCTTGAGGTGTTTGAGTTTCACTTAGTCTTAGTCTTATTAAAAAGACTTATTCTTTTAAATGCAATCAATAAGTTTTATCAGCTGTTAAAGGTCCGTCTCACTGTTCCTCTCCAGCAGATTCACTATGAAGGCTGTCATCGTCTTGGCCTCTGTGGTTGTTTGCCTCCACCTGGGCACCTGCATTGACCCTTCCCTGGACTTGGAGTGGGAGAACTGGAAGATGAAGCACAAGAAAGTCACCAGGAGGAGAGTGAGTAGGAAAGAATTCACTGCCCAGTTGGAAAATATTTAAATGACTTGTGAAAGGCAAAAAACTGAATGCCTCTGACTTCATTGTAAGGACTGTTGTGCTGCACTTGAGGAATCTGCCTAGCTCAAAAATCATCTCCACACCGTAATATCCTCTTATATTTCTGAGAACTTTCTCCAAACCTGTCAATGTTTTATTTTTCCACACAAATAAGCTGAAAATCAGGTGAGATATATAAACAATCCAGTGAAGCTTCCTCAAATTCTGTGTCATGATAATTTGTTTAAATTTAAGTGGTCTGCCTGATCTACAAACTAAACGGTATGGTGGTTGCAAATGTAAAAATGGCTTTATATAAGTTTATATGGGCTTATATACAGTAAGAGCACAGAAGCTCTTAATTTATTCCTTTTACAGAGAACTCACATTTCAATAGGTGGACACTGAACTGAAACGTACTCAACATCCTTTGTAAAGACTGTTGTACGGCACATTTTAAAATATATACTAGTGCTCAAAATCACAACTGTGGTTTCACATCTTATTGTGTGTCTGACCACTTTTTCCAAACCAGCTGGCAGTTCTGTGTTTTTTCCACACCATTTAGCAGACCACTAGGTGAGTTGCGTTAACTGACCTGTGCAGCACACTGAAACTGTTTTAGAGCCTCCACAATTTCTAGACCACGATACATATTTCACGAAGAACAACGCAACCCATGAATCAAAAAAGGTAAAAGGTAGCCTCTCGGCTTCAGATTGAGGGGCCAAACCCCCCATTCAGACAGAGAGATTAACCAAGGGGCATCTGTAAAGGTGGAGAGGGGCTGGAGGCAGGATGAATGTGAAAGAAAGAAGAGGTGTTTGCAAGAGTTATATACTGCATCTAGCAAACGTTTGATAATAATTGCAATATAAAATGACTGCATGAGATTGGCTTGTTTGTTATTAGACCTCCCAAAATTCAGGTAAGAACTTCCATTTACAAACAATTATTCAGGGCAGCCAATCTTCAATATCTATGGTACACTATGCAGAACTAGAAATATGTGATATAGTGCAGCTCCAACAGTTATGTTCCTTAGAGATCCCTTCTGGTTTGGGGTAGTCAGGTCTATACTTAGGGTTTCCCCATCACTATGCTGGGGAATTAGGACCCACATGGACCACAGGGTGAACACCCCCTGCTGGCCTCACTAACACCTCTTCCAGCAGCAACCTTAGTTTTTCCCAGGAGGTCTCCCATCCAGATACTGACCAGGCTCACACCTGCTGAGCTTCAATGGCCTGCCAATTGTAAGTTGCAGGGTGACATGGCTGCTGGCCCATTTAAATTGTTAAGTGGCAGCTGGTTATCTTAATGACTTTGATATCTCCCAACTTGAAATCACAAAAGAAGGGAGAATAAATTCAGCTTTCAGTACTGTATCAAAGATTCATTGTGTTTCTCTCTAAAAATTGTTCTGTATTTCATTTTGCCTTTAATTAGAATTCAAGGTGAGGTTTTTGTGAGCATACTTTTTCCCATCTTAAATGTAAAGACAGTTATAAAGTCAGATATACTGTACTGTAACCCCAGATGTCCCCCTCCAGCCAATAAAGGGAGCTGTAATACGACAGGGCATCTCTATTTAAGTGCAGACTGCACATTAAGAAACTGTTTTACTTCAGGCAGTGGATCAACGGAGAAGAGAAATATGGGAGGAGAACTACCGAGCCATAGAAGATCACAACAAGAGATACAGAGAAGGAAAGGAGACATATGAAATGGGCATGAACCAATTTGGAGACCTGGTGAGTGGCTCTCTCTTCCTCTCTGCTTTCGGTTCAGACTATTTATTGTTTATTCCAGAACTTGCTGAGCTCACCTCTCTTTCATGTCTCCTGTTCTTCAGACCACTGAAGAGTTTGTGAAGCTGACAAAGATGAGAACGTTGACAAGAATGGCACTCCGTAGGAGCACCAAAGTGATGTCGGCCACAGACTTGCGCCTGGCAGCCAGCAAGCTGAACTTCACAGGCATTGATTACAGGACCATGGGCTACGTCACTCCAGTCCAGAATCAGGTGGGTGTGGTGTCTTACTACACAGTACCATTCTGTTTTCCTACGGTAGGACCTTTTGACCAGCTCCACCTCATGGCTCCTGTTCTTTCTCTCTCCCAGGGGACCTGTGGGAGCTGTTATGCATTCAGCGCTGCTGGAGCTTTGGAGGCTCAGTGGAAGAAGAAGACAGGCACGCTGATTCCATTGAGCAAACAGCAGCTGGTAGACTGCTCTACCTCAGTAGGAAATGCAGGCTGCAGAGGAGGTCTTGCTCGTCTGTCCTATGATTACATCATAAAGAACAGAGGAATCCAGGCTGAGGCCACCTACCCCTATGCCATGCAGGTGAGAGATGCTTCAGCTAAAAGAGTGCCTGGAATGAAGTGCAGTCTGGGAGTAAGTTGTGCTAGACTATATTGATTCACAACAATGTCAATCAATGTGGATTCACACCAATGAGGATACCTGCACAAAAATGTCTGAAGTCTCTATTGCCCCTTTTCCCCATTTAACTTTCTTTCTTCTTTCCTCTTCCAACTTTGTCACTCTCACTCTGTCCAGAAAAAGAACTGCACTGCTGACAAGAGCAAGATTGTGGCCACAGTCAGTGACTGGAAGTTCCTGCCCGTTGGTGATGAACAGGCCCTACAAGATGCTTTAGTCACCATTGGCCCAGTGGCAGTTGCCATAGATGGTTCAACTATCAAATTCCAGTTCTACAGAAAAGGTGAGCTCTCACTCACTCTCTCTAACTCAATGAGGGGATAGATTTTATTAAGGACAGCATAGCTGAAGCCCAGATGCCTTTTTTGAGATCTTAGAATAGAGCACTTGTACAGACTTGTTCCTTCTCCAATTGTCAAATAATCTCCCATATTTGGAGCTCTACAGCCTTTCCCCTTAAGAACCTTTGATTTGAACAAGGTTTCTTTAATAAAGTTTCTTCTCTTACTGTAAACGCTTTCTTAAGGGCACCTGAAATACTGCAACACTGTTAAGAACTCTAAATTGTCATACAGGCATCTTTTCTGACTCCAAGTGCACCATTT